CAGGCTGGAGTGCAATGGTGCTATCTTGGCTCACTGCAACCTTTTCCTCCTGGGTTCAAGCCGTTCTTCTGCTTGAGTACCTGGGATTACAGGCGCCCACCACCACATCCAGCTAAGTTTTGTATTTTTAATAGAGATGGATTTTCACCGTGTTGGCCAGGCTGGCTGGTCTCTTTGGCCAGGCTGGTGTTGAACTCCTGACCTAGTGATCCACCTGCCTTGGCCTCCCAAAGTGCTGGGATTACAGGTGTGAGGCACTGTGTCTGGCTGAGTTCTTTCCTTTCTTTTTTCACTGCTGCTACCTTGCTTAGACATTCATATATATTTAGATATATGTATATAGGTTTTTTCCTAATTATAAACATGATATACATTGGCTATAAGAAAATACATTACAGACCTAGATAGTGAAAGTTCCTTAACCCCAACTTCTACAGATAACCATTAACAGTATGGTACACAGTCCTCAATTTTTTCTATGTATTTGCTAGTATGTTATATATTTAAAAATCAGATCACATAATCTCGAAATTTGCTTTTCTTATTTCATGTATCAGCACATACAAACCTACTTGGTTTTTTCGTGTCTTTTTAAAAATGTGGTAAAATACACACATGTTTTATACAAAATTCAAACGGCACAAAAGGGTATAATCATAAAAAATAGGTCTCTGTCCACCCTTGTTCTTCAGCTGCTCATCAGGAATTAGCTGTTACCAATTTCCTAGCTAGCCTTCTGGGGCACCTCATTTCTTTTCCAAACTGCATAACATCCCATTGTATGGATATTACAAATTTATCAGGACACTTATGTTGTTTACAATGCTATCACCCACTGGGATCTAAATTCTGTTGTCAATCTTATTAATTACTTGTCACTCAACTTTTCTTAGCAATATGGTGTTCCACATTGTACAGCTGCACCATAACTCATTTATTCATTCCCCTGATGAAAATTTAGGTTTAAATACCTAAGAGCATTTGCACTGCTCTGAGGGCACTCGTGCTGTTCAAGCATTTCGGCCCTTTTGCCATCAATATAGTTTATGTATTCCTCCACCCAAAGAATACATAAAGTATATTGATGTGAGTTCCTCAAGGACAGGGGCAGTGTTCATACTCATCTTTGTATCCTCTTAGACTATCTTCCCGCACTTGGTCTGGAGTATACATTCACCAAAGTTGAGTTCAATAATTGACTCATCCGTACTGAGTTCTGGAATCTAGCGTGGGGAGGCGGAGCCAGGGGAAAGCCCTGCCTTTTTGGGCGGTCCCGACCTCAGAGGGCCCGGAACTTTAGTTGAAAGTATCCTTGTTTCTCAGGGACGATTTTTGGACGCGAAGCGTGCCCCGCACAAAGATGGTTGCCATGAACCGGAAGTAACTGGTTATTTTGCTGGCTCCAGTTTTTCCGCGGGGCGGAAAAGGCATGTCTGTGTGTGTCCCAACCATTTCTAGTCTTTCCTTGCAAGAACTCATGAGTAAGCTGTGGCGGCGTGGGAGTACCTCTGGGGCTATGGAGGCCCCTGAGCCGGGTAAGCGCGGATAGATCAAGCATTTTAGGCTTTTCTCAAAAAGAAGTCCCTTTCTTTTCGGAGCGTCCAGGTCCTTCGGCCACAGGTGGGAAGGAGAAAGGTGGTGCTGTTGTTATGGTAACAGCGAGTATTGCGGGAAGAGTGGGATGCGGTAGGGGCCTTAGGTTATTCAGGGCTTCCCCTGACATTCTCTGGCCGGACACTTGACAAGCGCTCCCTCCGCAGGAGCAACCCTGGAGTTGAGCCTGGCGGGTGCCCATGGCCATGGAGTGCACAAGAAAAAACACAAGAAGCACAAGAAGAAACACAAGAAGAAACACCATCAGGAAGAAGAGGCCGGGCCCACGCAGCCGTCTCCTGCCAAGCCCCAGCTCAAACTCAAAATCAAGCTTGGGGGACAAGTCCTGGGGACCAAGAGGTGAGGTCAAGAGGGTCGAAGTTTTATAAGGGGAACTTTAGGAGCAGAGATGGTAGTTAGAAGCCGACTGGGTTTTCTAGAAGACAGACCGGACACTGTGACTTCAGGGCCCAGGTTTAGGCAGCAAGTGTCTAAGAGGGTGGGGAAAGTTGGGTGTAGCTACTGAGTAGGAGGAGACACTGGCTGATTTTAAAGAGTAGTGTTGCTTCTCTGCAGTGTTCCTACCTTCACTGTGATCCCAGAGGGGCCTCGCTCACCCTCTCCCCTTATGGTTGTGGATAATGAAGAGGAACCTATGGAAGGAGTCCCCCTTGAGCAATACCGTGCCTGGCTGGGTGAGAAGGGTCTGGAGGTGGGGAAACTGGGTTTCTTATTATATCTGCCTAAGGGAAGAAGGTTGGTTCTGAAATGTGTTAGGATTTTCCATGTCCCAGTATTAACTTGGCCAAATTAGGGTACCCCATCTGAACAATTATATTTTTCTTTCTCCAACTTTCCTTCCCAGATGAAGACAGTAATCTGTCTCCCTCTCCACTTCGGGACCTATCAGGAGGGTTAGGGGGTCAGGAGGAAGAGGAGGAGCAGAGGTGGCTGGATGCCTTGGAGAAGGGGGAGCTGGATGACAATGGAGACCTCAAGAAGGAGATCAATGAGCGGCTGCTTACTGCTCGACAGGTATGTTGGTTCATTTGTTTATTCACTCACCAAATGTATACAGTATTGAGAACTCACCACGACCCAAGCACTTTTTGTGGCAGTGGGGATATTGATAGTGGAGGAAAGACAAAGTTTCTGTTCTCCTGGAGCTAAGTATTCTAGTGTGTATGTTGGGGGGCTGGGAAGTAAATAAATAAATAATTTCAAAAAGCTATATGGTTTACGACAAAAAGAATAGGGTGGTGAAATACAAAGTGGCGTAAACAAAAAGAAATAGAAAGTGACAGAGGAGAGACATTTGGGTATAGTCAGAGAAGGCTTCTCTGAAGAGATAACATTTGCAATACCAGAGGAGCTTTTCCAGCAGAGACCAGCAGGTGCACAGACTGTGACACTGGAACATGCCTAGCAGAGTAAAGGAGAAGAAAAACTGGCCAAGCCACTGAAGGGTTGTATGCAGAGAAGTGACATACTTGGTTTACATTTGGATATATTAGTCTGGCATTGTTGTAGAGAATGAATTTCCGTGGAGACAAGAGATAGAAGTACGGAGACCAACTGGGAAGCTGTTGAAGTAGTCAGCTGAGAGACAGTGGTTGCTTTAACCGAGATGAAAGTGGTGGAGATGGAAATATCAGATGAATTATCGCTATATTTTGGAAGTAAATACTTGTGGGGAGAAGAAAGAAGAGAAAATATATCAAGGCTAAGCCTAGGATTTTGACTTGAGCAGTCATCCAACTGATGTCTATCGAGGTAAGATTAAAAACAACAACAGACCTTTGGGAAAGCTGGTACAGAGTTTTGGTGCATAGGTCAGGCAGGTAACATTACTGATGCCTCTCTCCTTAAGAGTTAAGGACCTAAAGCTGAATGTCAAGAGATCAGGGAGGAGGCAGTATTTATGAAGAGGAACCTATGGAAGGTGTCCTGGAGCGGGTGCTCATTAATTAATATCCCGTTTCCCAACGCCTGCGTTGCTCAAGACCCTGCCTTCCGTGTCCCTTCTTTCCCCTCCCCGGATCTGGCCGACCTCTCCTCTCCATCTTCCTCCATTTTCAGACAGCACCCTGTCTCTGTCTCTTCCCAGCGAGCTCTGCTTCAGAAGGCACGGAGTCAACCTTCCTCGATGCTGCCGCTGCCGGTGGCCGAGGGCTGTCCGGCCCCCGCCCTCACAGAGGAGATGCTGCTGAAGCGCGAGGAGCGGGCGCGGAAGCGGCGGCTCCAGGCGGCGCGGCGGGCAGAGGAGCATAAGAACCAGACTATCGAGCGCCTCACCAAGACTGCGGCGCCCAGCGGGCGGGGAGGCCGGGGGGCCGCACGGGGCGAGCGGCGGGGAGGGCGGGCCGCGGCTCCAGCCCCCATGGTGCGCTACTGCAGCGGAGCACAGGGTTCCACCCTTTCCTTCCCACCTGGCGTCCCCGCACCCACGGCGGTGTCTCCGCGGCCATCCCCCTCAGGCCCTCCTCCGCGCTGCTCTGTCCCCGGCTGTCCCCATCCGCGCCGCTACGCTTGCTCCCGCACGGGCCAGGCACTCTGCAGTCTTCAGTGCTATCGCATCAACCTGCAGATGCGGCTGGGGGGGCCCGAGGGCCCTGGATCCCCGCTTTTGGCTACGTAAGGAGGCCCTTACCTAACCCGGACTCTGCGCCCTTTCCCATGCCCGCTCTTCGAGTGTCTTCCCCACCCTATTAAATTTCATCCGGTGCTTCGGCTTGTATAGAATTGGGGGAGTGGGATGTGGTGGGCAAACCAGTCTCCGGTATACACATCTTTTGCTCCTGTCGGAGCTTGCGTCGATGCCTGGGGCTTGGAAACCGCTTCAAGAGAGCAGGCTGGTTTACGCTCAGACTCGGACAGACTTTTGGGACCCCGCCTCTTCCAGCCGGGATTACCTGGCTTGGTTGGGCATTTGGCGTCATCCCGAAAACATGGCGCAAACCAATCAGCGGCAAATCTGCTCTTCTGAGCGGCTGTTCGTTGGTTGATAAGCCAGAGCCTGTTCTGTTGTCTGTATTGGCTATTACCGCTATCAGTCAGGGCCGTGGGTCGAACCTTCCCCTACTCTTTGTCTATACAAGCTCTTGTTGTCTGGGAGAGCTGCGAAGGCGCTGCTGTGGATTGGCCACAGGAGAAACCACTGATCTGTTCCTATTGGCCCGTCCGTCGAGGGACGATGCTGATTGGTAGGGCAGAGCAATCTGAGTCCTAGTTGGTGGAGTTCTCCCCGGATGGACGCTCCGGCCGCGGAGTGATGGTGGCGGCAGCGAAGATGGGCCAGACAGGGACCATGGCGGTGGCAGCAGAGGTGGCAGGGGCGGGGCGGCTGGCGGTAGAGGAGGCTGTGGTCCTCAGGGGGCTGTAGGTGGAGGCATGGCTCGGGCCAGCAGCGGGAACGGCAGCGAGGAGGCCTGGGGGGCACTTCGGGCGCCGCAACAGCAGGTATCCCAACAGCTCCAAAGCCTATCACGACAGCCATTTGTCTCTTCCCCTTTTCTTGTCCCTTCCTTTTGGGGGTGGGGGAGGAACTCACGGAGCCAAAGGTACTGTGAAGTTCCTAAACACGTCCCTTCCACTCTCTGTCTAAACTTTGTAACGTAGATGCAGCTGACTTTGCCTGTAGCCTCATAGATCCCATCCTATGGCTGCAATGGAAGCTTGCGGTGGCTCTCCAGTGACCAGAGGCATAGTGAGGCCCCAGGGAGGCTCCCTCTGTCTTGCAACAGTTATTTGTGATGTTTTTCTATGTGCCTATTGTCACAACAGAGTCCAGCAGCGTCTTCTCTTGAGGGAGCAATTTGGAGAAGAGCTGGAACCCAGACTCGCGCCCTGGATGCCATCCTTTATCATCCACAGCAATCCCATCTGGTTGGGAGCACTGCTCTGGGTCTCACACTGCCCTCCTCTACCCTAGGGAGCCTGAGGCCCACGGGTGGAAAGATCCAGTTGGGGGTGGGGGCAGTGAACCGTGCAGGATGACTAAAGCAACTTGCTTTGGAAATGACCTTCCCCTACCGATTGTCTGAGACTTTTAGATTATCTCAGACTGTCTTCTGGCTTCCGCCAAAACACTCCCTTAACAGAAAACACTGGGGGGATGAGGGTAGGGGGGTTTGGGAGGGTGAGACTTGAGTGTGAAGGAAGTCTCATATATGCAGAGCTGAAATCTCCCTCTTTGTCCACACTTTTGTCTTGTTCTCTAGACTGATTCTTGCTATTCCAAATCCTCTTCCACGTTGACAGTCCTTCAGATATTTGAACACTCCTCTCAGCATCCTCCACTTCCCCCACCTCTCCAAGCTGAACTTGGTTCACAGGGTGGGATTGTGTATGTGCATGCAGGAGGTGAGGGTGGACAGTGCCCTGCGCTGGAATCCCCCTTAGTTCTAAGTGCCTCTTTGCCCCCAGCTTCGAGAGCTGTGCCCAGGAGTGAACAACCAGCCCTACCTCTGTGAGAGTGGTCACTGCTGCGGGGAGACTGGCTGCTGCACCTACTACTATGAGCTCTGGTGTAAGTCTCCAAGAGGGCTGTTTTCAGGTCCCTGTGCCCACCCTCCCTTGGACCTAGAATTTCAGCCCAAAGGGTCCCTTCTTTGCATGGGAGATGCCTGAGTTGCTCCCTCCTTGCTTCTTGCAGGGTTCTGGCTGCTCTGGACTGTTCTCATCCTCTTTAGCTGCTGTTGCGCCTTCCGCCACCGACGAGCTAAACTCCGGCTGCAACAACAGCAGCGGCAGCGTGAGATCAACTTGTTGGCCTATCATGGGGCATGCCACGGGGCTGGTCCTTTCCCTACCGGTTCACTGCTTGACCTTCGTGAGTGACTTGAGGCCCTGGGTCAGCTACCAGTGGCCCTTCCCAAACCAGGATCCCAAACCATCACATTCCCTTTTCCACATATTTCAAAATATTTTTCCCTAACATAAAAACTAGTACCCTCTACCTGGTTGCCTTCAACCAATCATACCAGTTTTCTCCCCTGCAGGCCTCTTCAGCACCTTCAAGCCCCCAGCCTACGAAGATGTGGTTCACCGCCCAGGCACACCACCCCCTCCTTATACTGTGGCCCCAGGCCACCCCTTGACTGCTTCCAGTGAACAAACCTGCTGTTCCTCCTCATCCAGCTGCCCTGCCCACTTTGAGGGAACAAATGTGGAAGGTCTTTCCTCCCACCAGAGTGCCCCCCCCTCATCAGGAGAGTGAGCCTGGGGCAGGGGTGAGCCCTGCCCCCACACCCCCCTCCTGCCGCTATCGCCGTCTAACTGGTGACTCGGGTATTGAGCTCTGCCCTTGTCCTGTCTCCGGTGAGGGTGAGCCAGTTAAGGAGGCGAGGGCTAGTGCCACCCTGCCAGATCTGGAGGACTACTCCCCTTGTGCACTGCCCCCAGAGTCTGTACTGCAGGTCTCTCCCTTGGGGCTGGCTTCCAGTGAAGAGGACATCCCATAAGTAGTTTTGAGAAGGTGGGTGGGTTACTTGCCCACCAGAAACAGCCCTGGTCCCAACTCCTTTCGTTCCCTTTGGCCCCTTCCTGCTCACCTGCCCATCTAGAATCTGCCTGAAAGGGCCGGAGCCCTGAGGAAAGGGGCAGTATTTGGGGGAACTGTGCTAGCTTTATCCCCCAAGACATACACAGGAGCCTTTAATCTCATTAAAGAGATGTGAACCAGCCACTTGTGGGTTTGGATGGACTAAAGCTCAACTCACTACATTGTACTTGACTTGACTGTGTTTGAAGGAGACAGGTTCTGGCCACTTGACCACACCTTCCCTGAGGACAAGTCCTGAGCCCTGGATTGATCTGAGGCCTCTTGGTGAGGCAAATCTAGCAAAAGCAATAGAGTTCAAAATGTTTTTTCCAATTTATTTAGAAAAATAGACTCTGAATTCACATTCACCCCCAGGCTATGTGGGATGACAGGAGACACCTGAGATGAAATGAGGAAAGTTTGAATTACTGGTATCTGAGGGGCTGGGGGCAGAAGCCAGACTTTGTCCCTCCAGAGCCAGAGAGGCACAGGTGGCTTGGCTCCCCTCCTTTCCCTCCCTTCAGTAATCTTCAGCCATGGCCAGTAAGACAAGGCTGGTCCAGCCGTTGAAAGGGCGGCAGCCCATTCCTCTCCCATCCCGGTCACTGTACTGCTCCCAGAGGAAGCCTGTAGACTGGTACTGGCGCCATACATTGCCTACCACATTGGCACGGAGCTCACTGTGGAGTTTGGCAGCCCGAGCCTGGTGAGGACCCTTCAGTTGCCCATAGTGGTGGAGTGCTCCCAAGGCCAGGTAGTTGACATTGAGCCACACAGCACCCCGCCAGTAGGGAGGATCATGCTCTGAATTGTGCTGGCCATAAAAGGAGCTGGAGGCTGCAAGGGAGCGTAAGCCAAAGGGGCTCCAGAGATGGCGGCTGTCAGCTAGAATATCCAGCAGGGGCCCAAGGCGGGATGAGTTGGGGTCCAGCAGTCGCAGCAGCAAGGGAAAAAGACTGACATAGCCAAGGGCGTCTACATACTGCAGTCGAGGCTGGGGCCGGCCCACCACCCGAACCAGTCCCTGAGGGGGCCTGGGCTTCAGCTGTACTGCTTTTGTGTGATTCCCAAAGTCTGCAAAGACTCCTAGCTCTTGGGCCCAGTGCAGCTCATCCAGGCTCTCTGCTGACTCCAGTGAGGCAGCCAGTGGACCCAGCTCAGCAGCTACCTCAGTCTCGCCCAGATACTCTGCCAGCTGTGTCAGCACACGAGCACCCAGTGCCACCCAACATCGCAGGTCCAGGTGCCGCTCAGCAACTGAAGGGTGTGAAGCCCGGGGGTAGTCATCCAGCCCAGAGGGTAGGGTCTTAGGGTTCAGTAAGGTTGGTAAGGCAGGGTCCCGTCCCCGCCAGCGGTAAGACAGTGGCACTGGGCCTGCCTGGCTCTGATGGAGCCAGGAGAACCAGGCATGCAGGCGGGGGAAGGCCTTTCGGAGGAAGGCCAAGTCATCAGGATCACCACCCTCTAGCATGTGGGCAACAGGCAAAAGTAGGGTTGGGGGGTTGGCGTGGACTGCTCGTTGCACCAGGAATTCTGGAGGCACCCGGGCTCGGGCCTCATCCCCCAGTATCTGCTCCCTCCCAATCCAGCCATCAGCATTTAGCAGCCCCAGCCAGTGGCCAAGGGCTTCCCTAGTGAGGTAGGGATCCCACCGCTGAACCACCAGCTGGTGAAAGCCCTCATCCCAAAGGAAGCCTCGTGGGAAGAATGACCGGGAGGGCACCGCTGTAAAAAGAGGTATGGGTGGAAAGAGGGCTGGGTCCACCTTCTGCTCAGACTCTTCCACCCCCATGTCTGGCAATACCAGCCCTTGTCCATAGAAGTAGCCAATTCCGCCAAGGAGATCGCTGAGGGCAGCCTGACCCAAAGCCTGCTCACCAGGGCTCAGGCCCTTCTCCTTCAGATGGAAAGTCTTCTCAAAGCGCTCTCTAAAGGCTTCAGCATGGTTCTCCAGGGTCTGGGTCAGTAGACTGCCTGCCAGTCTTGGCAGGGCTTGATTTCCTCCTGCTTGGGCACTACCTGATTCAAACACAAACTCTACAGAAAAGGGAACTTTCAGGGTCACCTGCTGTATCAAGAATTGCCCCTGCCCTTGCCCACTGGGGCTTCTGTCCTCCCACTTCAGAGATCCTGGCAAGCCGAGGTAGCGTTCAGGGGAGGCCCCTGGAGGCCTATGCTGAAACCAGCTATTTAGGCTATTCTTTACCATCTCTGTCAGCAGGGGTAGTCCTGGGTTGGAGGTCCAGAAGACATTGTAGCTTGAAGGGAAGAAAATAAACAGAAAATATTCAGGAGAAGGCAGTGGGCATTATAAAGAGAAATACAAAGTGCTCAGGAGTCAGGTTGGGTGGTCTCAGGCAAGGGACATGGAGACTGGTGAAAATGCAAATAATTGGTAGAAAGAAGGTAGGGTGGGGGAGACAGAAATCAAAGTCAGCATCAATACCACCCCTTCCATCCCCCAACATTGTCTTCCCCCAATTACCTGCCATACTTGGGAGCTGTATCCCCTGGATTTGTTGGTGGCATAAGTGTAAAGCGGAAGTCACCAAGTTCACTGGTACGCCCACTGATGAACTTCAACTGCCCCTTGGCTTCAACCTCTGGTAGTAGGACTTCCTTGCCATCTGTCATCACATAGAAGAACAGGGAGACCAAAGGGAGGGCAGAGGTACTTGAGGCCTGAGTGACCAAGGAGGACAGAAAAGAACAGTGTTAGACTGGCATTCTCTCTTGAGAATCAGCCTTAGTAAGGGAAAGGAACAGCAGACAGGGGTAATGTAAACAACATACCTCTGGCAGTGTTGAGGGTCACTGAGTAACCAGGTACACCCAAATGGGATGAGATAAAGAGCCTTGCACTGGCTTCCCTGGGCGATTACAGTATACTTTTGTGTTATGTCCTACACTAAGAAGTCTATACAGTTTAATTTAATTTAATTCTTACAATTCTGTGAGTTAGGGCTATTATCTACACTTTACAAGCAAGGAAATCAAGGCTTAGAGATGTAGAGATGGTCATACAGGCAGTTGCTTAAGGCAGGATTTAAGCCAGGCAGCCAGTCTCGGAGCCCACTTCATGCTGCATTTGCTGGCAGCAAGGGAAAGATGGAGGGGGTCTGGGCTGAGGAAAGGGTGTCCTGAGGCCCTGACCTGAGGCTCTACAGTCACTCTCCAGCTCCAGTCCCCTCCGTGCTGACCCCCAGGCCTCTTGACGAACTCAGTGGTGAGCCATAAGGCCCCATCCTGGATGTGTTGCCGCCCGAAGGAGAGGCCGTCGTGGAACTCCCAGCCATAGGGACCCACACCGTCCCCCTGCTCACACGTGTGCCTGAGCTTAGGAGTCCCCCGGGTGGTGCCCTGCTGCGCCCACATCAGTCCTGGGGGTAGAATGGCCACGTAAGTCAAAGAGCAGGGGACCTGTTCCTCCGGGTCTCCGGGTCATCCCTCTTCATAACTCTCCTGATCCATTCCTCCCCACCCTTTCTCTGGCTTCAAGCTGGGGCGCCCAGATTAGGAGTCCGCCTGCCTGCCCGCCCTGGAGCCCGGTTACCGGTGAGGAGGGGCTTCGGGCTGCGAGTCTTCATGCCAAAGTAGACGTGAGGGCGGTAAGTTCCCCAGAAGAGGCCCGGGGCCACGGCGGGGCTGGAGGAGTTGGCCGGCAGCGCAGGAGGCGCGGAGTGCAGCGTGACCGCCCGCCGCGCACGGTGCCACGCCAGCACCCAGCGCCCCGACAGGCCCAGGGCCAAAGACAGGACCACTATGGCCACAGCCACTCCTCCAGCCGTGCTGCGCGGCGCGCCGCCCCGGCCGTCCCGTTGCCCGGGGCCTCCCCGAGCCGCCCTCTCGGCAGTCCGCACTCCCTCTGCCAGCACTGCGCGGCGCCGCCGCTCGCCCCGAGCCATCTTGGCACTGAAGTCCGCGTCGCGAGAGCTCGGAAAGGCGGCAGTGGAGCCCGGGTCCTGCCTTGCCTCTCCGGCTCCCGCCTTTCGTTTCGCCGACAGCAGTCAGATCAGCGACACCTGCCAGCCCGCGCGTCCGCCTCCCGCCGGAAGTCCCGCCTCGCTACGTCAGGCTAAGTCCCGGAGTCCGGAACCACTGCTTACGATTTTGCGTAGGGTTCGTGCACGGCGTCTGTTCTGGGCGGGAATCCGCCGGGGCTGCGCTTATTTGGCGACCCCATGGAGTTCACAGGCTCGGAAAAATCAATCTACCACTGGCCTGCTTTTTATTTTATTTTATTTTATTTTAGAGACAGAGTTTCCCTCCTGTTACTAAGGCTAGAGTTCAATGGCGAGATCCCGGCTCACCGCAACCTCTGCCTCCCGGGTTCAAGAGATTCTCCTGCCTCAGCCTCGCGAGTAGCTGGGATTATAGGCATGCGCCACCACGCCCGGCTAATTTTGTATTTTTAGTAGGGACGGACCCATGTTGGTCAGACTGGTCTCAAACTCTCGACCTTAGGTGATCCGCCCGCCTTGGCCTCCCCAAATGCTGGAATTACAGGTGTGAGCCACCTCGCCCGGCCGGCTTTTTTTTTTTTTTTTTTTTTTTTTATAGCGATTATATATTAGGAACCTAAGGCTATTAGGAACCTAAGTGTAAAACACTATCTCAGGTGTTTTACATTTAATCGCCCTGTGAAAATCAGGGGCAGGAAACGTAAACTTAGTCAGGGCCATACAGCTGGAAAATGGCTTGCTTGGAACCCACATATATCTGAATCAAGCTGGATCAGTTTGCCCACACCGGTGCCTTCTTTCCTAATGAAGTTGAGAGTGCAGGAGTGGACCCAAGAGGAAGACTGGGTTCTGTTCCAGCTGTGACTTCAGACAAATTGTTTCCACTCAGTCTGGGATTTCTTATCTAGATGAACCCTAAAAGAATGATAGTGGTGGTGCAAGTACTTACAGAAGGCATTTTCCTCTCTACAACCCAGAAGGTAAACAGAAAGGATGGTTTATATCCAGGTCAGAGGTTGTATGTAGAATCTGTAAGTCAGATTGACCCAGAATAGGATAGTGAACATTACTTTATTATTATTATTATTTTTTGAGACAGTCTTGCTTTGTCTCTCAGGCTCTAGTGCAGTGTTGAGATCTCAGCTCACTGCAATCTGCCTCCCGATCCTCATGCCCCAGCCTCTTGGGTAGCTAGGATCACAGGTGTGGGGCACCACACCTGGCTATTTTTTTGTATTTTAGTGGAGACAGGGTTTTGTCATGTTGCCCAGGCTGGTCTGGAATTCTTGAGCTCAAGCAATCCACCCACCTCAGCCTCCCAAAGTGCTGGGATTACAGGCGTGAGCCACCCCACCTGGCAGTGAACATTTGATGGCATTTCAGAAATGCAGCTTAGATTCATAGTTACTGATTTCTCACCAACAGCCCAACCTAGAAGATATTTATATAAAGAAGTCTATCCCATCCTTTAAAACAAACAAAAAACCACTGTACTGTATATCCTTACGTCCCCTAGCTATCATCACACTTCCCATTCAAACTCATTATGTAAGACTAATGCAGCCTGGTGTGGTGGCTCACGCCTGTAATCCCAACAATTTAGAAGGCTGAGGTGGCTGTATCACCTGAAGTCAGGGGTTTGAGAGAAGCCTAGTCAAAATGGCAAAACTTCATCTCCACTGAAACACAAAAATTAGCCAGGTGTGGTGGCACATACCTGTAATCCCAGCTACTTAGGAGGCTGAGGCAGGAGAATTGCTTGAATCCGGGAGGTGGAGGTTACAGTGAGCCAAGATTGTGCCATTTCAGCCTGGGTGACACAGCGAGACTTCGTCTGAAAGACTAATGTGGCCGGGCACCATGGCTCACATCTGTTATCCCAGGACTTTGGGAGGCTGAGGCAGGTGGATCACCTGACATCAGGAGTTTCAGACCAGCCTGGCCAATTTGGTGAAACCCCATTTCTACTAAAAATACAAAAATTAGCCAGATACGGTGCTGGGTGCCTGTAATCCCAGCTACTTGGGAGGCTGAGGCAGGAGAATTGCTTGAATCCGGGAGGTGGAGGTTACAGTGAGCCAAGATTGTGCCATTTCAGCCTGGGTGACACAGCGAGACTTCGTCTGAAAGACTAATGTGGCCGGGCACCATGGCTCACATCTGTTATCCCAGGACTTTGGGAGGCTGAGGCAGGTGGATCACCTGACATCAGGAGTTTCAGACCAGCCTGGCCAATTTGGTGAAACCCCATTTCTACTAAAAATACAAAAATTAGCCAGATACGGTGCTGGGTGCCTGTAATCCCAGCTACTCGGGAGGCTGAGGCAGGAGAATCGCTTGTACCCGGGGACAGAGGTTGTGGTGGGCCGAGATTGCGCCATTGTACTCCAGCCCAGGCAACAGGAGGGAAACACTGTCTTAAAAAAAAAAAAAAAAAAAAAGAATAAGGCCTCTTAGATATTAGCAGTTACTATGGTCCCAGCAATGTTGTAGGTACTTTACAGATATTAATTCATTTAATCTCTTTAACAGACCTATGAGGAAGGTACTGTTATTTTCATTTTACAAATGAAATAGGCACTGGTAGTTTAAATAATTTGTCCAAAGTCATATAGCTACATAACAACAAAAGTAGGATTTCGACCCCAAGCAGTCTGGCTCTTTACAACACTATACCACCTGCACCTAGCTCTCTTTTTTAAAGGGGGAGGAGAAAAACAGTCCTTTGAAGATAGCACCCTTTTAGACAGGGAAAGGGTATAGTAATGCTGCTGTAGGAAGGTCATGGGAAATGTATCTGGCAAAGTACACAGCAGCCACTGTCTAGAGATCTTTTATTACCTAGCTGAGGATTGCGAAGGTGTCTAAAACAGTGGCTTTCAACCATTTTCCAACCCACAATAAGAAATAATTCCATAGTGCAACTCAGTACATGCAGATACACAGACACACACAACTTACATACAGGATTACAGATTTAAAACGAGTTTCCTAGGCCGGGCGCGGTGGCTCAAGCCTGTAATCCCAGCACTTTGGGAGGCCGAGGCGGGTGGATCACAAGGTCAAGAGATCGAGACCATCCTGGTCAACATGGTGAAACCCCGTCTTTACTAAAAATACAAAAACATTAGCTGGGCATGGTGGTACGTGCCTGTAATCCCAGCTACTCAGGAGGCTGAGGCAGAAGAATTGCCTGAACCCAGGAGGTGGAGGTTGCGGTGAGCCGAGATCACGCCATTGCACTCCAGCCTGGGTAACAGGAGTGAAACTCCGTCTCAAAAAAAAAAAAAACGAGTTTCCTAAAAGAATACTTCCAGCTGGGCGTTGGTGGTTCACATCTGTAATCACAGCATTTTGGGAGGCCAAGGCAGGAGAACTGCTTGAGTTCAGTGAGTTCAAAACCAGCCAGGACAAGATGAGGAGACCCCCCTCCCCCGCAATCTACAAAAAATTTAAAAATTAGGGCCAAGTGCAGTGGTTTATGCCTGTAATCCCAGCTACTGGGAAGGCTGAGGCAGGAGAATCACTTGAACCTGGGAGGCAGAGGTTGTGGTGAGCTGAGAGCCTGCCATTGCATTCCAGCCTGGGCAACAAGAGCAAAACTCTGTCTCAAAAAAAACCAAAACCAAAAACAACAAACAACAAACAAGAGTTGCAGATGTGGTAAGGCACGGTGGCTCAATCCTGTGATCCCAGCAGTTTGGGAGGCAGGAGGATCACTTGAGCCCAAGAGTTAGAGACCACCCCATGCAACAGGACAAAACCCCACCTCTTTTGGAAGAAGAAGAAAAAAAAAAAGAATGGGAGACAGAACTGGGATAGAAAGATGATAGCTGAAAAAAACAGCACTGTCAGTGTTTTTTGTTTTTTCAGACGAGAGTCTCGCTCCATTGCCTAGGCTGGAGTGCAGTGGTGCGATTTCTGCTCACTGCAACCTCCGCCTCTAGGATTTGAGCAATTCTCCTGCCTCAGCCTCCCAAGTAGCTGGGATTATAGGCATGTGCCACCACCACACCTAGCCAATTTTTTTGTATTTTTAGTAGAGGTGAGTTTTCTCCATGCAGGTGATCTGTCGGCCTCCGCCTCCCAAAGTGCTGGGATTACAGATGTGAGCCACTGCACCTGGCCTATCAGTGTTCACACTGAATTTGGTAGGAGTAAGAGGGCTGGGCACAGTGGCTGATGCCCAACACTTTTGGAGGCCAAGGTGGGAGGATCGCTTGAGCCCAGCACTCCAAGACCAGCCTAAGCAACATAGTGAAATCCCCTCTGCAAAAAATTTAAAAACTAACTGAACGGGGTGGTGCGTGCCTGTAGTCCCAGCTTCCTAGCTACTTGGGAGGATCGACTAAGCCCAGGTTACAGTGAGCTATGATCATGCCACTGCACTCCAGCCTGAGCGACCGAAAACAGACGTGTCTTAAAAAAAAAAAAAAAAAAAAAAAAAAAGAGGTACCTTGAATGGTAGAAGCCAGAAGCCAAATTCAAAAGGGTTAAACAGTGAGTGATGGTAAGAAACTGAAATAAATTCAGGTTAATCCAGACACCTCCCTGATCTAGTCTTGCTCCAGAAACATTTGTGATAGCAGGGTTTTAAGTTTTATTTTGCACTCCGTGGCCCTCCACACAGTGATTTGAATGATTAAGTGAAACCCTTCTTAGGTTAAGTGTCCTAGTCCACGCTAAAATCATCTCGTTGGTCTCTTCCGCGCTTCAGCGACCAGCATCAGCGCCCGGCTTGTCCCCGCTGCCCGCCGCCTCCCTGGCCCGGATGTGGGAAGCGAAGGCACTGAGCATTTCCAGAGCTGTGAGATGGGCGCCGCGCATAATCAGGCGATACCCGTCTCCTGGGGAAGAAACAAACGAGTCAGACAGGGAGCGACTGCAGGGCTGGGGCTGAGGGGAGCGCGGGCTGCCTGCTGTCCCCTCCCGCCGGTCTCCCCACCCAAGCGCACCGAACAGCACATCCACGCAGGGCTCGGAGCCGTCGTGCCTCACATCTGCAATCACTGAACAGTTGAGATTAGTGGAGCGGACCCTCTCGCTGCTCACCGCCTGGAGGAAGGTCCTACGGTGGAAAAACACCGTGAGCGCCAGGCTGAGGGCTTAAAGCCTCGGCTGAAGGAAGGCGCACCACTTCCCGCTCCTATCCTCTTCCCCTTTTTACCTCGTCGATTCCACGTTTTTCTCGAAGGGACAGAATTGGATTCGAACCTGCTTGACGGGGCGTAGACCCAGCCGTCCCAAGGCAGCCGCCATGGTGACCTCCGCCCCGGAAGAACTCGTGCAGGCGGAAGTGTCTCATGTAATGAGACCAAGAAAGGGTGCGCTTCTGCGGGATACAGATTTCCTGCCGCCGGCAGCCAAGCAGGCTTGCGAACCGCCGCGCTGGGCTCTCCAACCCAGGCGGAGGAAGGCAGGAGGGAGAGAGGTGGTTTCGGCACAACGCATGCGAGAGCCCAAAGTAGGCGGTCAAATACAACCTGTCATTAATAGTCCTCTCACACCACGGTGAAAACCATAAATAAATGGCACAAAAACCTCTTTGCACGAAAATACGCCTGTTTTCTGCAACCTTTCCCCTTCTGTACCCTGCTGGGCCAGATTTAGGCTAACTCGATCTTAAGTCCTGGCCCTTTCCAAAGAGACAGCACCAGCACAAGCCGGGATGATCCACACCAGGCGATAAACACCATTCAGGTAATTTAAGATTAAACACGGTGAGCTCTGAACAGCCAAAGCTTAAACGTTAAAGTACTACCGCCCAATATTCGTAAATGACTGAAAATAGTAATGGGAAGAGCAGTACAGGGTAATACTGTCCTTGGGGCTGATCCAGGTGTAGAAATGCCTATTACACCTCTGTGGTTCCCCACGTTACATGTAAATTTTTGGTGCTGCAAAAGAAGTAGCACTCGAATATAAATTTCCTCCACAAGGCAATTTTCTTTTTTTTTTTTTGAGACAGAGTCTTACTACTGTGTCACCAAGCTGGAGTGCAGTGGTGATGTTGGCTCACTGCAACCTCTGCCTCCTGGGTTCAAGCGATTCTCCTGCCTCAGCCCCCTGAGTAGCTGGGATTACAGGCACACCTGGCTAATTTTTGTATTTTTAGTAGAGATGGGGTTTCACCATGTTGGCCAGGATGGTCCCAATGTCTTGACCTCATGATCTGCCCGCCTGGGCCTCCCAAAGTGCTGGGGTTACAGGCTTGAGCTACCATGCCCGGCTGGCAATTTACTTTTTTTTTTTTTAAAAGATGGGGTTTCACCATGTTGGTCAGGCTGGTCTTGAACTCCCGACCTCAGGTGATCCGCCCGCCTTGGCCTCTGAAGTGCTTGGATTACAGGCGTGAGCCACTACGCCCAGCCCTGGCAATTTACTAATATAGAAGGGTGAGGTTCGCGGGTGGCTGTGGCTCATGCCTGTAATCCCAGCCACTTTGGGAAGCCCAGGCGGGTGGATCACGAGGTCAGGAGTTGGAGACCCGCCTGGCCAAGATGGTGAAATCCCATCTCTACTAAAAATACAAAAAATTAGCCTGGCACGGTGGTGGGCGTCTGTAATCTCAGCTACTCAGTAGGCTGAGGCGGAGAATTGCTTGAACCCGGGAGGCAGAGGTTGCAGTGAGCCAAGACCACGCCACTGTACTCCAGCCTGGACAACAGAGCAAGATTCCGTCTCAAAAAAAAAAAAAAAAAAAGGTTCAGCTCACAGATGGAACAATGGTGAGTGCACACCTAGACAAGGGAGAGGAAGGGGTACTTATTCCTGACGGAAGTAGCCCCTACTGCTGTGTCATTCCCCTTTTGGCTAGGGTTAGACCGCACAGTCTAGATTAATTCTGATTGGCAATTTTAAAGAGAGCAGGGGTACCAGCCAGAGTGGTGGGATGGGTAGTTTGGTGGGAAGGACAGTTAGGGGACAGGTCAGAGCAGGTAACCATGGGTGGCTCAGGTCAAAGTATTTGGCCGGGATGGTCAGGATGGAGCAGGGGACTGAGAACAGATGTGAACTACTGATTAGAACTAGTGGAGGCCAGGCACGGTGGCTCACGCCTATAATCCCAGCACTTTGGGAGGCCGAGGCGGGTGGATCACAAGGTCAAGAGATCGAGACCATCCTGGTCAACATGGTGAAACCCCATCTCTACTAAAAATACAAAA